AAAGAAGTCCATTGCACCTAACCTTGCTTATTTGGTTAGAGGATAGATTAGTGACTGTAATCAAACCATACTGGAAATCTTGGTCAGTTTTACCCAGCACGTCTCCCTTCGTCCCCCCACACTTACTACTACTTTGCTCCCAAATAAGAAGCAAAGAGAAGCAGCAGCCCAAATGAACAGCTCATCTTACCAAGAAGATGAAAAGCAAAACGTGAAGAGCTCAAGATGCTTTTCTACCAGGAAGAGTTGATAGGGAAGGCTGAGAACATCCTTCAGATGACACATTAAATACACCTGGTTTAACTGGCACCGTGCAAGGGCATCAAAAGGAGGTTGTATTAGTTTCCCCTGGAGGCTAAATTACTTTTTCTGGATAGTATTCCTGAATAATTCCACTCACTATTATCATCATCATCAGAATATATTAAACTTTCAGTTTTTGGATATGCTCATTGAAAAAAAAGTCACTAAATGTGGTTGTACAGCACTTGAAAAAGTTGAATTCTTCCCTGGGGTAAAAGGATTTGGTTCCTTAGGACCTTGTGCAAAAATGTTTGCTTAACTTGCAAAGGGGAATACAACCAGTTTCCTCTGTTCAGAACCAGGGAGTAAGCAAAAAAGAAGCTGAAGCCACTTACAAAAAATCTGGACGTCAGAGTGAGGCGTTACACCACTTGTGTTACTCTTCAGTTCTACAGAAGGGGTGCATCCATCGGCACTATTTATTCCCCAGCATTATTAAAAATTTGCAAAGGCTACTTCCACACTTAGTGGAGAAATGCAAAGAATTCACGTCCTTGTTTCATTTAGCTGGCAAATTCAAAGTTTCTATCCCAACAGGTGATGGCACCACCTTCTCTGGGAAGCACCATACAGGGAGAAATCTTTGTGCACAGCTGCATGCACACAAGGATATGAAAACATTTTCCCATCAAGATTTCTTCCTCCTGCATTTTGTATTGTTTTACAAGTGCATTTCTGCTGCAGTGGAAACAGACCTGATCTCAGCACTTGCCAGAAAAGGAAATCTGCAGTAACTTTTCTTTTAGATAGTGATGTCACACAAGTGTCCCATTAGCGTGTTAGGAGCGCCAGGACTTTTTTTCCCTTTCCTTTTTAAACTAACAAATGTTTGCCATCCATCTGTATCTCAAGAGTCTTCCTTTTCAAGCTGCTGCCCAAGTGCTGCATCCCACCCGAGAACCAAGCCTCCTGCCCTCTCCTCCCCGACAAAGCGATGAGAAACTGACCAACATTTCTCCCGGTATCGGTATTTATGTGGGGAAGGGGAGGAAGCAAGGGGACTTGTGGCAAGTCTAGAAATGGGAAAAGAGCAACAGGGAGTTCCCTAGCCCATACGGGCCCAGCTGCCTCAGTTGTCATGACAGAGAGTGGCCAGTTGGTCAAAGGTCTGACATCATCCGGTAACAAAAGTTTCTAAGGATAGGTTTGGGAAGCAGAAGCAGAAACTACTGGCAGGGAAAATTAAAACAAGACACTGCTACGTTTGCTCAGTGTGCATCTCTTGGTTGGTTTCCAGACTTGTGGATGCTAGGAGTTAATGTTTCCTAAGACTGGCTCATAACTAAACTGGAAGTCACCAGCAGAGAGGGGAGACGGGATTGGGAGGAACTAGGAGTAAAGAGTTCTCCAAAAATCTTTTGTTCTAAAGACATTAGCTACAAAATCCACTTCAGAACTGAAGTGCAGGACACTTCAGCTGCACCCTGTTAGGAGTTCCTAACTTCAGGAAAGAAACACATGTATGCATCAATAATTAACACCATTTCCATGCCAGACAGACATACCTGCCAGCTCCGCAGGAGCTACCTTTTAGAAGCATCATTTTACATAACAAGAATGATTTTATGAATCGTCAAGGTATTATGAACTGGTCTTATTGTCTGACTCGATTTAATTTAGGAACAGGAGTGAGCAGCACTGGGGTTGCTCAATTATTAACTGATGATTGTTTAAAAGAAAGCAGAACATAAGGATCTAATTGTGTGTTTAAGTTGGTGCAACAAAGATTCTGTCTTCATGAGGCAATCAGAATTACACCTCTGTGTGGAAATTAAATGGTGGCTGACTGTTCAAGGCACAAATGTTGTAACCTGTTGAGACTACAGCCAGTCTACTGATGATGCAGGGGATACAATAAGAACTTCAGCGCCTAACTAGCCCTGAGCTGCACAGTTGGAGTATCTCAGAAAACCATCCTGAAAGAGAAGTGAAAGCTCTCCATGTACCTCCATCCTTCTTCTCGGCTTCATCTCGAATGAGAGGGGACGTGAGAACCACCTTCAGCGTTAGCTTGGGCTCCTTTGTGTTACGAATAATAATAGCTGCCTCATTTACACGCTCCTCCACGAGGTACTTCTCCTCTGTGAGTTTCTGAAAGTCACCAAGAAAGGTTTCAAGAACCCCCAAGTCAATCGTGAAAAAGGCAGAATCTCCTAACACAGTGTTTGCCCCTAGAGCTGGTACTACTCCTGGGAGTAGTAGATACAAAGCCGGACATGTCCTACCAACAACTTCCTTGCTTCCCTTGCGTGGAGAGTGGCTAAAGCTGAAAGAATTTTAAAACTATTCTGGCAACCAAACCTATCCCGAATAAAGCTACGTGGCTGCAGCATCGATGCACTATGGTACCACACATCCTATGGACAGTGACCAATTTTCTGGGGCTTCCAAAATGTGAACCATGTACCTGCAACTGTTGGTCTCAGGAAGTATCTACATTCCCAGGTGAGAGCACCTTTAACTAGAAAACCCTGGGTAGGCTGCTGCCATCTTGACAATTAGTGGTAGATCCTAGTGGGTAATTGGCTTCAGTCTCAAGACATTTTGCATGGGCAGACCCCTGTACTTGCATGGAGCCCCATCAAATGAAGTCACACATATATGGGGCTCAAATAGACTTCGAGAGATCATATAGCCCATCGTCTTGGTTTGAAACAGAGGAGGTATACCTAGACCATCCCTGACATGCATCTACTTAACTTGTTCTCAGCTTCCAAAGGCAGCCTGTTCTAGTGTTGTACCACCCCTGCATTTGGGAAGTTTTTCTTAACATACAATCAGCTTGTCCTTTGCTGCACATGACTCATTCCTTTTTGTCCTCTCAGTGGAGAACAACTGATCACCACCCCTTGCATAGCCACCTTTTAAAACACGCATCTGAAAACCTGCAACTCACAACTGTATTCTATTTTTTAGAAAAAAAATCCAATGAAAGTTAAGCTGACTGGTCTAGGGCAATTCTTTCAACCTTTCAATAGGCCGTTTTCTATACTTCTCATCATTCTTGCTCTCTTCTGGACTCTCTCCAACTTGCTTAGATATTCCTTGAAGTGCAGTGCCCAAAATTGGGTATAAAAGCAACTGAGGCCTCCTATCAATACAACCCTGATTACGATACTTCTACTCACCATCCTTCTTCCTCTACCTCAACTTTTTTCCTTTTATTTGCAACAGCACCGTATTGCTGGCCTTCACTGTTTGTGATCTGCTGTGTAACCTGCAGATCCTTTTCGACAGTACTGCTCTGTAGCTAGCTATTCATGGTTTAATTTTCCCTTCCTAAGTGCAGTGCTATGCAATTGATGTTACTGATTTCTGTCGTAATAATTTCAGCTAGCTTCCCAGCATAGCAGCATCATTTTCAGTTCTAATTTTCTTTTCAAGCCCTTGCAACTCCTCCCAGCTTGGCTTCATTTGTGAAAGACACAAGTGCTCTCTTTTCCATTATCCATGTTCTTAACGAGGAGGTCCCAGAACAAAGCCTATGCGAGACTCCACTTGAAATGTCCTCCTAGCTTAACAACAAACCACCAGTAGCTACTGTTAGCATGGTTTTTCAGCATGGTTGTACATCCATTGAAATTGCAATTTCATCGAGACCTCATTTCCTAGTCATTTTATGAGCATATCATGTAAACTGTGCCAAAAACATTATTCAAGATATCCAAGCAAGGGTTTTCTCCTTATCTACTAAGACAGTTATCCTGTCTAAGAAGGAAATTAGATTTGACACGATTTGTTCCCAACAGATTCAGGCCATCTTAGCACCACATCTTGCAGGTATTTACATACTATTTAATGATTTTTTTTCCAGTGAAAGTTAAGCTGACTGAGCTATGTTCCTGGGTCCTCCCCACCACCTCATTTGTAAAAATACTGTTTGCCCTTCCCTGCTCATCTAGGACTTCACCCAACCTCCATGAGTTTCCAGAGCCAATTGCTAATGGTTCAGAGGTTGCTTTATGTTAGTTTTTTAGTATTAAAAGGTAGGTTTCTGTCACATCCTGAAGACTTTATTTGATACCTCTAAACTCTTCTAACCTCTAATTCTTCTTTAACTAGGAACAGGGGTCTGTTTACACGGATCAGCTTTGAGGATTGAAACCAGAGACAGCACATAAAATATCCCCTGTCAAACCACCACTGCTCCTCGAGGGAGATGGAACCATACAGCTTGCTTCTTCCAGAGACCTGCTGCAAGCAACTCATCTACCCTCTCCACATCCCTGCACGCTTCCAGGAGTCTCGTGTATGGGGAAGTCTGTGTCTGCAGGGTACGATATTCTCTCTTTAAAATCCAGACCCGTTTTATGAGCAAATGAACAGTGGGGACAAACAGCGGGGAAGAAGGATGGAAATGTGTACGCCCTCTTTGGAAACAAACACACAACAAGGCAGCAAGCCAGGAGGGAGGGGTTCAATGGGGTATTTGATGGGTATAGTCTCTTGGCCATGGCACAGGCCACAAGTGTCAGGATGGATGTATTCTTCAGGCTCAAGGAGCTGTCAAAGAGCCATTCTCCTGGGTTTAAAGGGAGCAGTATACGTTTCTCTATACAATACTCTTTTATGCAACAAAACCACAGGGGTACAAAGAACTGAGCTCATGATCGTGATTAAAATTTAGGGTTGCTCACCACCCAGCATGCCTTCTCTTCTGAATCACAGAGTCGTTGAGATCTGGGGGGGAGAAGGGGGAAGGAGGAGTGGGGCAGGGGCAGGAGGTGGAATACCCAACACGTAACGCTTCTGCCAGGCAGAAGTTAAAGTTCCTGGAAAGACTCAGGGCAAGGAGGCATGATGGCATGCTCAGGAGGGAGATTTGCAAGATTACCACGTTGTGCGTGCGTTAGAAGTGAGAGCAGAAAACACAATCCGCTGGGCAAATTCCCAAACCAGAGGGTTAGTTGCAGGGCACAGCAGGGTTGACATCAGGAAAAGGGATTGAGGAGGATGGTAAGCTTTGTGGTTAGCTGTTTTTACCCATCATGCTAAGTGTCACATGCTCTAGCTGTTGTCCTAGATTTAAAGTAAGTTCTTTGTTCTCTGTACCTTTACTACTCGCATTTTCTCAGTACCAAATTCCTTTTCAGCCTTTACCCAGCATAGCTTGTAGCCAAATATGCCTTGCAGTGTTATCAATCACTGCTGCAGGACTGCCCTAAATTAAACTCACCTGAATTTGGATTGGGAGATTGTCTTTGACTATATATAACAAGGTCTTTGTGGGTTTTTCTTTGCACATGAGAACCAGCTCCAAATCCATATCATCTTTTATCAGCAAGCCCTTTGCAACCAAGCCAATTCTCATTACACCACACAAGGTCCGACCACCTTGATCCCTGGAAATGAAACAATTCTGAATAATTAAAATGGTAATTTCACACATAGGAAATATTTGTATCATCCTCTCACAGTAAAGGGACAAAGACCAAGGGGACTGATTTCAGTATTTCTGCAATGCAGTACTGACAGGGCAATGAAAAGCATGGGCTGCCTTTATGTAAGTGGGCAACAGGAGGGGGAAGAAGAAATAAAAGGGGCACAAATGGTGAAGTGCATGAAACAGTGCTTTGCAGTTCACACAGAGAAGAGAGTCTCGGGCTAATTATCAAACTCAAACTTTACCTCCAGCTGCAGAAAAGGAAAGGTGCACCCAAGCCTGGAGCAGGTATTTCAAAGGAGCTTGCAACTAGGAAGCCTAAGTCTAATTTGCAGAAGTGACTGGGACCCTTGTGGCCCCATGTCCCAGTGGCTGTCAACAAGATTTATGTGGTGATGTGCCTAAGTCTCTTTGGGAAACTTTATTCCAGCTCTTTTTTGTGCATTTTCTGTAGCTTGCACGTGTAAAATGTTGTATAACTCATTTCTGATGTTTCCTTGAATGCTACAAACACCAGCCTCTTCAGGAAGGCTCCTCAGTTCAAAGAGCCTTCCTTACAGAAGCCCTTCAACAGTTCACCACTGCTGTAGCAAATGAGCCATTAGAGGGTCGGTCTGGGCTCTCCTGAGAAAACTCAGAGAACTTTTAAGAGCCACAGTAAATGTCAGCATTTCAAAGTAAAATAAACACAACTTCAGCTTTGAGCGCTGAGAACAGACAGACCCACAGACGAGATCAATTTAGCTGCCCAGATGCACACAAAAACAGAGGGTGCCTACAGGGAAGAAGAGCCTGAACAATCGCACCCGTGACATTTCTTAGATATGGTTATGCTAATTAAATAGCATCTCACTATGTTCCAAAACCCAGAGAAAAGGGGTGCAAGTCTTAGGGGCGGGGGCAGGGTACTGTGAAACCAGCCTTGCCCACAGCCTCCACCTGTGATATCTCAGCTACATGGGCACAGCTGTGCAGACTTTAAATGGATGCATTGAAGTGGTCTCTTTTTGTCTAAAATGCAGCAAGCAGTCCAAGAGGAGGAAGGGACACTGCCACGGTCAAGCCCAAGTCAGAGCAGGAGCAGACTCACAGCGGGAAGCCCGGTCTCTCAGCGAGGGGGCCTGTCCCCTTCCACCAGGCTGCAGGGTTTCACATCCTATTTTTAGGAAACTAGCCCGATGCTGCGACATGCAGACACAAATCTGGGAGGGAAATGCAATTCTCTTAAGAAACAGCTCCAAGCTGATCTGTTATTTCACTGTGTGCAACGGGTTTCACTTGAACCAGTTTCACTACCCTGGATAACCTGCAAGGGGCTTTGTCACAAAAACCCACCCCCAAATTTAGCAGTGGACTTTTTTTTTTTTTTTTGAAGTTCACAGAAGCATTTGTGTACCTGCAAAGCTTTGAAAACAAGAACTTGCAAAGCCACAGCTGACAGGACAATATACCTTTCATACACAGCAGGTAGGCATATTACTCTGCTCTCTGCAAGCCTGTGGGGAGGATTCATTTGCTAACATTTTGCACAGCATACTGAAGATACCAGCTGCCAGGCAGGTGCTTTACAATGAATAAGCAAGTTCTTTGTTTTAGTTTTATGTTACTTCTCTGCTAATCTAGTCCCTGGTGGGGTTGGCCAAGAAGTACCAGAGCCACATTATGTCATGCTTGGTTAAAACTTGGCTAAAGGATACATTTCAGAGTTATTCCAGGATTCCTCTGCTCAAGAGTACTGGCAAGAGAGATCCCTCGTTATGAAAGAGCGGCATGGCCCCACTGCTGTCACCAATGATGCCTTCTCAGTAGCAGTCAGGACTGCTGTTTGCTGTGTCTGCTCATCTGGAAGCAGGTAGTGCGCAGAAGAAAAAGCATCAGTCGCACCTGTCCGTTCTTCGTACTGCACAGCACCTAGGAGCCCTAGTCAAGGACCAGAGCCTGCTTGTGCAAGGCACTGTACAAAACCAAAACAAAAAAGCACGCTCCCTACCCTGGAGAAATAATGGGAGGTTCACTCACCTGGAAGCTCGGATTAGTCTACACACTAGCTCCTATTACAGGCAAAATACATTTTGTCCTGCACTGTTCCCTGCAAGAACTTTTTCCATTCGTACCACATTCCTTTCTCTGCAGGAACAGACATGTAAATTCTCCATCCCTTTAAGGACAGCAGGCAACACTTACTGATCTATTCACAGATCTAGCTAGCTGCATTACAAAATCCAACAAAATGTTCAAGCCGCTTTTCTTTTTCAAAAGTATCCCGGGAAGGAGTGGGAGACCAAAAAAAGACTGTGTCACTGCTTTGACAGGCGACACCTGGCTTAAAGGCTATTCTTCTGCCTGCTGGCTTTTTGTGAGAGCCTCTGCAGACATGAGATTTATTATAGAGAAGACACAGACACTTACAAAAATGCACTCTAAATTTAGAGCACAGCATGATCATAAAACATCCTGCACACAAAACCATGAAAGTGAAGTCAGGTTGTTTGATTATCTCAACAGCACTTAATACAAGCCCAGGATTTTTCACCAAAACCATTTTAAAAAGCCATTTTGTGCTCAATCTACCCATGTCAGAAAAAGGAAAATGCTGCCAATAGTGCTTGAAAATTACTGACACAACACACACCGCATCCCACATAAGGAGTTCAAGAAGTCAAGAAAGACGGCTCCTCAGCAGAAAACTGACGTTAATTATCTTCCACTGAACATGACAAAGCTTAAATGTCCATCTGTGGAGAAGCAGCCTATCAATCCACCACTGTTATTCCCAGGAGTCCATACAATCACCCTTCCTCAAACCAATTTATCAGTTAATTTATGGAAAAATATTCACGCATTCAAATACTTTTGCAATTTCTGTTTGCATACATTTCGCACCAAAAAGTGACACCTCACCACTTGGCCTAGTGCAAGAACGCTGAGAAGATGCGCGATGCATCTGATAAATATTTATTAGTTAAAGGGAGGGACTCAGAAAACACGGGGATTGGGAGGCCAACATTCAGGCTCATTTATGAAGCCTTGGAATCTGCTTTGCTAAGATCAGCCACTGGATCAAGTGCTGCTGAATGTGTCACTGAGTCCACGATCGCAGAGACAGCCTCCCCCCACAAGACTTCGCAGGGAACAAGCAGGTTTCTTCTCAACAGCTCCCAAACACCGTCACACGTATCGGATAAGAGCCAAGGGAGGAAAACCAACTTTGAGCCAGCGCTGTCAGCGCTTGAGGGACTTTCTACAGGTCACCATATCTGGTGGGATATTTATTCCAATTGTGGAGGCTCTCTGCTCCCCCACCTCTTTTCACAGCTTTCTTCAACAAGCCCATTTCTCACCTGTAAAGTAGAACATGTCTAGCTGCTCAGACACAGCAGTTTCATGTCCCATTTCCCACTGAAATCTGGGAATTGCCAAGGACAGTAACATACAGATCCTTTCAAAGGTGCCACAGAATGTTAGCACTGTTAAGTTTACAAATACGATTCACAAGATAAATCCAGAGATTTCAAATAGAAATCCACAGATGTGGTCTGTCTGAGTTCTTTGCAACAGAAAGACCACTCTTTTTTTTCTGCAAGCAAAGAAAAATTAAAACTAAGAGCTGGCATTTTCCAAGGGGTGCCATGAGTCATCCAGGCAGGGGTGCCTTGAGTCGAAAAAGGTTGAGAACCACTGCTTTGGAGATTTTATAAAAAGAATTATAATCACTGCCTCTTTCATATTAAATCACTGCCTCTTTCAAATTGAAATGTATCTTGAGCCCAGGTAAGTGAAAACAGCAGCACCTGACTGGGTACAATCTTGCTGATTCAGGACTAGATTTTGCCTCTTTTCCTTGGCACTGACTAGTGCCTCATTCCAGAACTGGTCCTTATGGGATCTCAAAGGCATTGCTGGTGGGATAGGGTAATTCTCAGAACGCGGGGAGGAGGCAGGCTTTGGCTTTCAGACACAATATAATACCAAGCTGGAGTGCTAGGCTCTTGATCCTGTCAGCTCTACCTAACATGCTTACCTACATTTTGGAAAACTCAGAAGAAACCTTGCTATTACTATAAAAGATATCAGGAAACGCAGCAGATCCATATGCAACAAAGCAGACCTTCTCACACTGATTATAAAAACAGAACTGTACACACCTACCCTCAAGCAACCCTTTTTAGCACTTTAGAGCTCGGAACAAGGAAAGCTAGAAGGAAAACCCAGAAACGCTCTCTCAGACTGTGTTAGTAAAGGGATGCAATCAGATCAGGTCCTGAGAAGGCCATTACATTAGAAGACAAAGTTTTGTCTAATGAGGACTATAAGTCACAGGACTAGAAGTCATCACATCCCTCTGGTCCTGGCATGGATTTGCTGGGGGTCTTCTGATAAGTCAACTTTTCTGTGCCTCGGGTCCTGGTCTCTAAATTGGGCATAATATTTATATGTAGGGACCTATCGACATTGCAGTAGAAGTGCACTGCCCAGCAGCTCCTTTAATCTTGCTTGTTTTGCTGTGCATCCCCCGCCACCCGATTGGCAGAGGGGCCCTGGCAGCCCCGCCACTTGCTGCTGATTGGCCAGGAGGCAAAAACCGTGGTGTTAACTGTGCTGTGGTTTTTGCCTCCCAGCTGGTCAGCAGCAAGCGGCAGTGCCACCAGGGCCCCTCTGCCAATCAGGAGGGGAGGGAGAGGGTTATGGCGAAGCAATCAAGATTAAAGGAGCGCTGCAAGGCACACTTCTGCTGCAACTTCGGTAGGTCCCTACTTAAATGGTTCAGAGAGTGGGTGAAGCTAAAGTTAGGGCTGTACAGCACTCGAGAGCCCCAAATGCCTGAACTTGAAGAGCTCTTTCTGCAAAACCCTGAAGAGGGGCCAGTTGTTCCAGCTGCTTTTTGAGCTGCTGGAGTTAAACTAGGAGAGCAAAGCTGGCACCAGATCAGGGGATAAACAGAGATGTGCAGTGACAGATGTTTCATGCAGTATGGAATTACACGATATACAGTAATGGCTCCTTTGGAGCAGTTAGTCTGCTGGATAAACAACACACGTTTATAAATCCATTTTTGTCGATTATACTGAAACTGCCCAGAAGCTGAAAAGTTGCGGGTTTGGATTTGCGAGCTCAAGGGAAACATGTTCACCTCTTGAAAAAGCCCACCTACTAACCATACCTTCCAGACATCTCATCTGAGAAAATGAAGCCCTGCCCAGGATGCCAGTCATTACTCTTTC